CAAACAATGAATCATGGAACACTACATCAATAACCAATGATGTACGGTATGGTGACTAACATAACATAACAAAAAAATAAAAATCTTATTATTCCAATACTTAGAATTTACTAAGAAAAAAATATTTGCAAAGTTAACTATGAGGTGCTTAATTCCAAAGTATTTTAATCTACTCATATCAATTTCAACATGAGTATATACAGATGACTAATAAATAATTTGTAGATATGTATAAAAAATAAATGCAGCCCTCTTATTGAGGGTTCTAGAATGAGTGTCATCGAGAAGTATGGACTGGACGATAGTTCTACCCCATTTGCTCCATTCTGGTTTACCCCCTCCAGACACACCCATGTTGAGGTGGTCATGTGTGACAGTCCAGAAGGATTACATTACTTCAGAGCAAATAGCTGAAAATTGAGACAGGCATTCATTGCCTCCTGCTTCCCAGTGTCCCTATGCTTCCAAGTGGCCTCCAGGTCCCCCCATTATGGCCTGCCTAGAATTGGGTTCTCTTTCTCTCTCTGGACTGCCTCACATGACCTTCATTTATGATGCAGTCTCCCTTTGTTCTGAAGCTCAAAATCTGCACTTTTCTCTAACAGAGAAAGTCAGGGTCTTGTCCCTTCTGGCCATGATCTAATCTTTGCATGCTCAGAGGTCACTCTGAAATTTTCCTGAAGAATGAACACGTCCTCTGATAGGAATTTACTGACTTTTCCTGAGAAATATGGCTATCACTCTTTGCTTGGCCATTTTGCAAATCTAGCTCATGCACATATGTAGATTGTTAGAATTCCCACAATTTCTGGCAAGAACCCTCTATATTTAATGTTGCTTTGACTTGGTCATGGTTTCCCCTTGCTAATAGTCTTGTGCTCATTAACATCCTTGTAAGATGACTTTGCACTGTTATTGGTCATTTTCTCCTTATGTGATGGCCTGGTGCCACCTTGATTGCTGTTTTATTCGGTCCAGAGCTTCTCCATAGAGTTTGTCCCTGCAAAGTGGACCTTGAGTGACAGACAGACTTCCACTGGAGCTTCCCCAGATTTTAATGGAGAAGAGACCTGGATACATGTCATTGTAACACAAGATAAGATGTGACTGACTAATGTGA